TTCTTTAATGGTGGGCTTTGGGGTGTCTGTTGCTGTGCCCTAATGCTTTCTCAAAAAAGTTTTGAAAATGTATGAGCATTTAATCAGAAATATGATTGAATTAGCTGAGTTATGTGCCTGCATATTAGGTGTGATAATTTTGGCTTAAACAATTCTTAAAAGGAAAGCTTAACTCTATATTTATATAAAGGAATATTTAGCACAGTTCCTTTGATTTTGAGATATTTTGTATCCTAATGAATTCTTTTTGGATAACACTGTTTTGGGGTTTTTGTTTTTTTTTTTTGTTAAGCATCTGTATTTATATTTCTCTAAACAACACTATAAAAATTCCTTGTGCAGTATAGTATGGGAAAGCATAGGCTTTGGAATCAGACCAGTCTTTAAGTGTTTAAATCCATTTAGCTAGTTTGGACAAGTTACTTGGCTTTTTAAGTTCAATAAACTTTGTAACAGAGGGATAGAATTTCAATAAAGTTTAAATGACGTACGGTGGAGATATTTTGTTGAGAAAAGAGAACTGAAGTGGGAAATTTGAATGTATTAATCCTTTCACTCAGTAGCAGCAAGTAATTGGCCTGATGTTTTAGGTGTGGATGCTGAATCCCAATCTAAAGAACTACTGAAATGTCTAAAATATAGAGATTGAATATAAAGTAACTAACATAATGCCTATTCACAATAAGTATTCACTAAATATTAGTTTTTGTAATTGCCTAGATAGGAATGAAATTATATGATCAGTCTTTAATGGAAACTTTTCTTCTGAGATTCTTTTTTTATTTTAATGTTAAATACTTTATTACAGCATGTGCAAAGATTGAGGGTTTATATTGAAATATAAATATTGTATTTGAGAGGCTAGTTGGAATTTTCTGGCCCAGTCAAGTCCTCTACACCATGTAGCTCATACATAGTTCCATAAAGTATATCCCTAAGTTCATCCTCTCACAAGTTTAAAGCTACAACCATCTAAACTAGTTCATGTAATGCTGTTCTCCCAAACTTGTGCCAAGTTCTCTCTGTCATCTAGCTTATGTCATCTGAGATCAATTTATGATCTCATTTTGTCATGTGGAACTCACACTTTCAGTTTGTTCTCTGTAGCTAAGAGTCTCTTATGGTTTGCCTCCCTCCCTGTTTTTAATCTTATTTTATTTTTCCTTCCCTTCTCCTATGTTCGTCTGTTTTGTTTCTTAAATCCCACATATGAGTGAAATAAGGTATTTGTCTTTCTCTAATTTTGCTTAGCATTATGCTCTCTAGCTCCATCCATATCCTTGCAAATGGCAAGATTTCATTCCTTTTTTATGGCTGAGGAATATTAAATTGTGTGTGTGTGTGTATATATGTGTGTATATATATATATACACACACCACATCTTCTTTATCCATTCATCAGTCAGTGGACATTTGGGCTCTTTCCATAACTATTGTTGATAGTGCTGCTATAAACATTGGGGTGCATGTGCCCCTTCAAATCAGTATTTTTGTATCCTTTGGATAAATACCTAGTAGTGCAATTGCTGGATAATAGGGTAGTTCTATTTTTAACTTTTTGAGTAACCTTCAAACTGTTCTCCAGAGTGTTGTACCAGTTTGCATTCCCACCAACAGTGCAAGAGGGTGCCCCTTTCTCTGCATCCTTGCCAGCATCTGTTGTTCCTGAGTTATTAATTTTAGCTATTCTGACAGGTGCGAGGTGGCATCTCATTGTGGTTTTGATTTTTACTTCCTGATGATGAGTGATACTGACCATTTTTTCATGCTTCTGAGATTCTTAACAGGATATGTATCAAAATCACCCAGAGCAGTGGCTCTCCCGTGTTAGTGTACATCAGAATCACCTGGAAGGTTTGATAACAAGATTGCTGGACCCCACTTTCAGAGTTTCTGATTTAGGAGATCTGGAGTGGGGTCAGCTAATTTGCATTTTAAAGTGTTCTTTAGGGTGCCTGGGTGGCTCAGTTGGTTAAGCGACTGCCTTCGGCTCAGGTCATGATCCTGGAGTCCTGGGATCGAGTCCCGCATGGGGCTCCCTGCTCGGCAGGGAGTCTGCTTCTCCCTCTGACCCTCTTCCCTCTCGTGCTCTCTATCTCTCATTCTCTCTCTCTCTCAAATAAATAAATAAAATCTTTAAAAAAATAAAAATAAAAAAAATAGAGTGTTCTTTAAACACTGGTACAGCAAACCACACTTTGGCAACCATTCATTGATTAGGGCATTTTTTTTTTTAAAGATTTTATTTAATTTATTTGAGAGAGAGAATGAGATGGAGAGAGAGAGCATGAGAGGGGGGAGGGTCAGAGGGAGAAGCAGACTCCCCTCTGACAGCAGGGAGCCCGACGCGGGACTCGATCCAGGGACTCCAGGATCATTAGGGCATTTTTAAAAAAATAATAACATGGAAGTAGATCTAGGTCACAATGACTGAATAGGCCTAATTTTTATCAGCTGAATGCGTCTTAATGACCAGTTGTTTATGATAAAATAATTTAAGGGCTTTCTTTTTTTTTAATTTAATTTAATTGAGCGGGGGCGGGGGGGTCAGAGGGAGAGAATCTCAAGCAGACTCCCTGCTGAGCGTGGAGCCCGACATGGGGCTCGATCTCACCACCCATGAGATGATGACCAGAGCCAAAATCAAAAGTCGGACGCTTAACCAACTGAGCCAATCCCGGTGCCCCAATTTATGAGCTTTCTAAGAGAAGATACTTGTATTTCTAATTGAGTGGGAACTATTGCTTACTGAATTCCTACCTATCTGCCCATTCCAGCGCTCGGCAATTTGTGTATATTTTTGTTAATGCATGAAATAACCCCATGATTACAAGGAAAGTTACTTGGCTAGAAAGACGAGTCTGTTTGATTCCTAAATTGTTATCTTTCCACAATAATGCTTTATTTCCTGTGGAAAAGGGTCCCCAAATGCAAAATTGATTGTATTCTCCTACTAACAGAAATGAAAGAGTGTAATAATTCCAGTATCTTTATCCCCTATGGTTTTTTTTTCTGTTGCTTCTCTTGGTTTTGATCACATTGTCTAATTTCTTTGAGCCTGCTATGAGTGGTAAATATTGCATATGAAAAGTCATAGAGATAATTTGAGGCCTAGAAAATTATCTGTTTCTGAAGGGAACTAGGAGCATTACCAATCTCAGTCTCAGATCACCTTAAATCAAGTAATTTTCCAAGTATGGTCTCTGATTGGCAGTATCAGCATCACTTGGGGACTTGCTAGAAATGCAAATTATTAGGATCACCCCAGACCTAATACGTAAGAATAAACTGTAAAAGATTGGACATAGCAATTTAACAAACAATTCAGTTAATTCTGATTTACGCTAAAAATTTGAGAACTGCCTTAATTGAACTGAAGGTTGAGATGATTAGAAGCTGGATTTCAATCTATATGAAGGCTGTTATTCATAGGCTGTAATTCTGATCCAAATTTTGAGGGGTTTATGAGGCCCTTCATATATGGTGGATCTTCATCTCTACTTTTTGTCTCTAGTTCTCTGTTGGAAGTTCCAGCTTAGCTTCTCAGGTACATCTTCTGGAATTAATAGATACCTCAGGAGAAGATACAAATCTGGGCTTAGATCTCTGAGTTTCTTGTTCCTATCTTAATTCTTAATTATTCACTGCCTTTGGAGCCCTCAGATGTCTCAAACATACATATTTTTTTAATTTGTATTTTGTCCAGCTTTTTTCTAGTTGTTTTCAGAGAGTAGAAGGAAATTGATCTGCATTACTTAATCTGCCATTACCAGAAGTGGAGGAGTTTGAAGCCCATGGCTGTAAAAAGATTAGGAAGTTAAGAAATGTCTCAAGGTGGGGTGCCTGGGTGGCTCAGTTGGTTAAGCGACTGCCTTCGGCTCAGGTCATGATCCTGGAGTCCCGGGATCGAGTCCTACATCAGGCTCCCTGCTCAGCAGGGAGTCTGCTTCTCCCTCTGACCCTCCCCCCTCTCATGTGCTCTCTCTCTCTCTCATTCTCGCTCTCTCAAATAAATAAATAAAATCTTTAAAAAAAAAAAAAAGAAATGTCTCAAGGTGGAGAAATGATAAGCAGTGTGTCAAAAATAGGTCTTTTCTGGAATTTTGTAATGTAGCTATGCCTAAAAATAAGAATGGTGTTGGCACAATGAACTCTCTACTCAGGAGAACTATTTTTGTGGGAGGTATTTTTTTTTAGGGAACTGTTAGGTTTCTATAGAGATCAGTTGGAGGGGAAAAGCCATGTTCCTGTCTTCTTACTATATTTTATAAGTGAGTGAGAAAATATTTAATTATTGTTTCAAAATAAAGTAGATAAGAATGATTTTTAAAGTGTTGTTTTGGGTAAATTATCACTAGGAACTGAAGATTTTTTTCCTCCATGAGTCTGAAAGCAGCTTTTAAATGTCTGGTGAAATGAATGTAATAAAAGTTGGTTTCTTTGTTGAAAAGAGCTTCCTGAGAAATGCCCATCCTATTGTCATACTGTGATCATCCCAAAGTGATTGTTATTGATGTCTTTATATGATCATTTGCAACAATGAAAGTTTTTAGACATTTCAGTTTCTGTGTTTGTATAGAAACCTTGATGTTAAGGCCAAACTACTTGTACAAGTTGAAATGGTAACTTAACGCCATATTTGACTGCTTGGCCTACAGATAGCGGTAACAGGAAATACTTTTTTTTCACTCTCAAGAAAGAGCTATTCTAAGATACTCTACCCTCATGTCTTCTGTTTTCTCTTTTAATTATCTCAAGTACCTTTGGAGACTTTTAAATGAAAAGGAAATAATACCGTAAACATCCGTGTTCCTACATATTTGTGTTATCCTTAGGAAAAAAAGTATTATGGTTGAATTATTCTTAAATTCATGCCACTGTCATCCCTTTCTCCCATCTTCAATAGCTGATACAATTTTTATAGCTTTTTTAATAAGTGGGTTTTCAAACAATCATTATAGTGTTTATTGACTCTTCAATGTTTATGGATCTTTTTACAGTTAAATCGTCAATCTGAAATTGTTTCCACCAGTTCTGGTGATCCCTGGAAGACATGTACAAGACGAAGCAAGGCTGAAAGTTTAAAACCTTTAAAAGGCAACCCAATTGGACTTAACATGTTAAGCAACAATAAGAAATTGAGGTATAGGCACTTCACTACACATTCCTACAGAAAAGATAAAAGGGTTTAACACCAAAAATTAACTACCTTTGTAGCCAGTTGACCCAACCTGTACCTTTTCTTTTCACTTTATTAGCAGTGCCAAGAGGTAGAGTTGTTCCAGTGTGTGGATTCTTCGCTTTGAATCTTGGGATTAGGGTTGATTGCAATGGTTTCTTGTTCTGAATAAAAATATTACAAGAAAAGTTTCAGTAGAACAGGATTTCATAAGATGAACTTGCTCTCATATAGTTAGTAAAATCTTGGTCATAATATTAGAAGTAGAAGGCACTGGAGGCTAGAGTGCTCCTGTCTCCTTTAGGGGATACTTATTCAGGATTGTCTCAATAAGGGACTTTTTTTTTTTTTTAAAGATATCTTATTCCTCTCCTAGATACAATCCACCTTTCCTTTGTGGAACTCATAGGGAACCACTGTTACTGATATGATTGGGCTCTTACACCTCTCAGAAATAGGGTTGAAAATCACTGTTTCATATCAATTTTGTCAATTTATAGATAGAAAACTGAGGTACATAAAGGCTAAGTTACTTTGAAGTCAGTGGCAGACTCAAGTAGAATTTGGGACTCCTGACTTTTTTTTTTTAATTGTAAAAAATCTGATTTTGATTTTGATTTTGGCATATAAGAAAACTTTGTAATACTCACGGTTTAAAAGCTTTTTATATGGATAGTCCCTAATAGAGAAGAAGAAAAGAAAATATATCTGAACTAATTTATAAGATATCTTATAGTGCAAAACATATATTTAGGATTCCTGCTTTCTATTCCAGTGTTGTTCTACTCTGTATATTTCATGTTCTTGTCAGGTATTTCACTCAGGAGTGTTTCTCTAAATATAAATAAATATACTCTGTATATTTCATGAATTGTATTGGAAACATTTCAGAGACAAATTTAGAAAGTAGAAAACTCCTAGGGGACAATTTAATGTGGTCAATTGGGTTGGGTTGATGTATAAATATATATAAATATATTTTTTTTTTTTAGTGTGAAGGTTTTTGTGTGTATATGTTCAGATTTGAAAGGATATATTTTGCATATGTGTATGTAATTTTCCTCTGTTCAAATTATTCTTTGTCTCTTGTATCTGCAGTGAAAATGCACAAAATGCATCAATATGTTCTGGAACTGTAGTTCATGGTAGACGTTTTCAACATGCTAATGCACAGATATCACTAGTAAAAACAGCAGCCCAAAGGTAAGGATTTGAATTGCCTTTGTTTAGTGTGTGTGTATGTGTGTGTGTGTGTGTATGTATATCATCCTTTTTAATTGTTTTGCACCTTTTTTTTTCTTTAAACAATTTTTTTACTTCGTGGAACTTTACTGTGTTTCTCTTGTTTGTAAGGAGATATTCCTGTCTCTGAAATAATTCATGTCTTAGAATTTTATTATTTTTATATCTGCTTTTGAATAAATCACATTCTATAAGTAGAGACTTAAATAAAAGACTTTTTATTGTATTATATTCCAGTTAAATTAATCTGATTTTACAATATTGACCTAAAACATTTGACAAGAAACCTTCAGCTGGTAGTTTAGCTCTGATGAGTAAAACTACAGTTATTAGCTTACTTTCTTTTTAAGATTTATTGGATTTCAGAGTACCAAAATAAATCACATTAGTTTTAGCTGAGAAAATTTTGTGTTTTAGTAGATTTGGATGTTCTCATTGATCATCAAAGTAATACTTGAACCTTGAAATAATGAAAGTAATAGTGGGGAAAGCTTAGTGTTTTAAGTGTGTGTTTTTCATGACCATTTTTGAATGGTTATGAAATTTCAGTTGAATTTCAGTTCTGAGTCAATTTTAATTGACTAAGAAATTCTTAGGATCCAACAATAAAATAAATATTATGAATAGTTGTGTAAAATGTTTTTAATTTAAAGATTTAGTATATATGCTAAATGCTGCTCTTCATTTTTTTTTAAATGTCAATCTAGATTGTTGCTCATTCAGAAAATGGCCTGACTCTTAGAAACCCTTGCTATATTTGCTGTGTATATAGATTTGCTGTAGCATAGATTTTTAACTTAAAAACCTTAAATCTTTCTCATACTTTAGGATAAGAAGATTTTTCTTTTGCTTAAATATATTATCATAGATAAATGATTGTAGAATTAGATATTTGAGAAATACAACTAAAAAGACAGAAAGGGAACTTATTGCACATACCAAAAAATTGGCTTCTTTTACTGTAAAGTACACAAATCAAGTCTAGCCAACATATGGCACAAACATGAGAATAAATAATAAAAGGAGAATAATTAGTGGGGAGGCAAAAAGAAGAGACACTGTTTTTCACACACTGATCACATTGGTAGAATCCATTGCTGAAAAAAAGATTTGTCTTTCTGATATTCTGAAAATGCGGTCCATGTTGAAATACTCATTTATGGTTTATGATCAAGTGATATATTCTACAACCAAAATTATTATTGCTTTTGAACTTATTTATTAGTTTGGAATTATTTGCAGTGTGTCCTAGTCTCTCCATCCCTCCTTTCATCATTGGTAATGTTAAAAAAACTGATTTCAGTCTGGAAATTAGTTTGTGTTTTGTTTTATTCTAGGTCTTTGCACTTATTATACCTTGCATATGTATTATTGCTATCTGCATAAAAGATTAGATTCTGTTAAGAGGAAATGGCATTTACTAGTAAAATATTTCTCCAAACAAAACCCTGAATTAGTTTATATTTAGAGAAACACTCCTGAGTGAAAATACCTGACAAGAACAACTAGGGGCAGTAAGGAAAACTGAAAAGTCATGTTAGCAGATTCTCTTTATGTTTGTCTCTTAAATTTATAGAATATACATTTCTTATTCTTGCTACAGTGTGTCATTAAAAAGATTTTGACATTCAAAAACAATTCATTGAGAGTTTTTCTAATTTTCTTCCTTCAAAATCATTGAGTGATTTTATGCTACATGCCAGGCATAGATGAGGTACAGAATAGTCAAAGGTGAATATGACAAAGTCCCTGCTTTTGAGCTCAGGTTTGATTAGGGTAGAGGACAGAAAGATGAGTAAACAAATAATTACATGGTAAGCACAGTGTAGTAGACACGGTTTGCATAGTGCTATTTACAGAGAAGGAAGGGAGCTGTGAAGAATTCACAAAGGAAGTATTAAAGAAGCTTTTGCGTGTACTCCATGCAGTAGGAATCACATCTTCAAAGGCATGAAGAAAGCCTTCACCTAAGATGGTTACTACCAAAACTTTGGCTTTATTTTATTTTTTGTTTTTTTTAAGCCTTTGGTTTTAATTAGTGTAGTTTTGGCACAGTTGCCAGGGTTCAGATGAGGTGAGCACTCGTTTTTACTGGCTTCTACAACTCAACTCTTAATTTGAAATTAAAGGAAATGCCACAAGTTGGTAATTCACACACTGCTCTTGGAGAGAGTGGTATAACTTTTCTTTTAAAAATAAATCACACCTGCATTTTGAATAACTTGTAGTTCTTTGTTAAGATACGGGAACAAGTACATCACACTTTTTTAATCTGAAGGGAATAAGTGAAGATTATTAAAATATCTGATTAGATTAGCTACTATTTGGGAGAACATTACGATTTCAATCTATTTTCTTACTGCTACTACAAATGTTAATCGTATTTAAAAGGTTGTTTACATACTAATAGTGATGGAGGAGGATAGTCTTAGTATGGAAAAATGAAATGTAGAAATTAAAAAATCTATATAACTCTATACCATCTCCACCCCTAACTTCAATGAGACTTGCTAAAAGAGCACATTTACTGGTTTATGTTTTATTTACATTTTCACCTTTTTTTGTTTTTGTTTTTTATTAAGGATAGGTGAAAAGACTTGTAAGGACCGTAGGGGAAAATGAATGTCTTCAAAAGCATATATAATCCATAAATGGGAAAATGGGCTCCTGGAATAAGCAAGATTTAATTATTAATGAAAATCACCACTTTGAAAGAATTTTTGAAGTCTTAAATCAGGTCATGGATACCAGAATCAATCAATCTCTCTTTTTTCCTTCCTTTTTAAAAAAATTTTAAGAACACTAGTACAGCACTAGTACAAGAATGAAATAGTCCAACAAGAATGTAAGTTGACATTTTTACAAAGTCCTAATTACTAATAATGGCTTCCCTCTCCATTTTTTTAAAAGCTTTTTTTTTTTTTTTTTTTAATATGTATGCTCCTCTAGGTCAGGGCTTGATAATAAACACATTGAAGAATCTTATAGAAGCACAGTGACTTAAAAATTAGATATCATATCATAATAAATGCAATTTCTAAAAGGATAAGAGAAACGAGCATGGGCATATATATATTTTTTTGTTTTGTGTTTTTTGTTTTCTTCCTAACACCCTTGGTTTATCGGAAAGAACCAAACCTGTTTCTTCTACTGCTACTCTGTCTTCTACCCCTTTCCTTTACTCTATACAGGTGAGTTTAAAAACACAAAAACAAGAGACTACTAAACTCTTCTCACTTCTTGGGGATAACAGTGTAGAGCTAGAAATGGCTGTATTAGGTATTAATGCCTAACTTTCGGTTTTCATCTTACTTTTCCTGGAAATAGAGCTCCAGTAGAAATAAGTATATAAAATAAGTTGGACTGTATTTAAACTTTCATGTTTATATTTTGTTTTATTTACTTTAATAGGGGTGGTAGTATTCTCTCACTTTTTTGTCATTTATCCAACATAAATTTATTTTATACAGATTATCCTGTTTTTTTAATGGTAAAATTTCAAATATGTTATTCGTGTAAGCTTATAATTCTTTACTATTGGAAAATTTTTAAAATAAGAGTTTCTTTTCAATGTTGCTTATATAAAACCACATTACCTCTTTTTTTTTTAATTTGCTAGGATTGATATTTTACTTGTTTGTTCCACGCTATAGGAATGTTAGAGTTAATATGGGGACTCAGAATTTGTACACTATGTTTTTTTTTTTACAATTAGTTCCGAATATTTTGTTCATTTTATAATAAGAATTCTCGGATATGAATCTTATTCTAAATTGAAGATTTTTGTAATTTTACTCTTGAGTAATTGATACTGATAACTTACTAGATTTTCCACATACTGTGGAGAAGGACAGACCTGTTATACATTGGATTTCTTATTGGAGGCCATGATTTTAAATCCCAGGCCTTTCCTTGTGTCCAAAACCATATGCTGCTGTATTTAATCTATGGCGTAAATGCAAAAGTTTCAACCTTAAAAAAATTCTTTTTTTCTTACTCAGAAGCTAATTATCACACCTGGTAACAGAATTGGAACCACTAAAAATTTTATGACTTTCAGGAAATTGTTCTTTGAAGACTATTTACATAACTACTCTAAAATAACATTATCCTCAAATGGTTGATGATTAAATAAAACTCTTTCAAGAATCTTTCATCTCTTTGTACATCCTTTTTTCTTAAATATGTTTAGATATAAATTATTTTCTGTATTAACAAAAATTGAAAAACAGTTTACATATCTGACAAGGTTCAAAACTTAGTATATAATATATATATTGTGTTTAAAACAAATTAATCACCTTAGAGTTTTGCCTTATTGACCACAGTTACTAAAACTACAATGATATATCAAAAATGAGGTCTTGCCTCTTACATTTTTTTTCTTTTTCATGTTTTAAGCAGTCTGGACCAAAAGGAAAGGTAAGCTTAATATTGATGAAATTAGAGCATGGATATAACAGTAAGATATCAAGATTATTTTTATGCTTTGAAAAATATCCATTGAATTAGAGTTCATCGTAAAGCTTTTTAATTATTTTAATGAAAGGAAACATTAATGGCAGAACATAATATTTGACTTATGGGGACTGTTTTACCATAATTCTCAATGTGGTTATATATTTATGCTGACGTGACTGCTTTCTTTTAAAAGTAGAATATTTTAATGCCTTAGTAGCAAAGTTGTTTTCAGCTAATAGCATTAAAATCTTTCTTGTTATATTTTACTGATAATACTTTTGTTTTTATACTTTAGTAGGTAGAGTTGAGGGGGGAAATGGAATTAGAATACCTTAAGCTTGGAGTTAAAATTCTAAAAATCAGTGTATTCCTATTCTGACCCAAAACAGGGAATTTATGATCACTGTTTGTTCCCTTTGTAATAACATTGGTAGACACATGTCCTTTAGCAGAAGTGTTGAATGATGTAAATAATAAATAACATGGGAAAAAAAATTTTA